TTCTCCATAAGTAACACCTTCTTCGACCTTCGCCTCTCATCGTGGCATGCCTTCAAGGGTATCAAATAGAGGTGTTAATGTGAAAAATTAAATGCCACTTCATATAACCAACAAAAAAGATATAAGAAACCACTGAAAACGGACATGGGACCCTTTTTTCTCTGGATGCTGGGAGACAGTTCAAAAATTACGCCAGCGTATTCGGATTTCGGCGTATGTCACACATGTGTCATTGCCGTATTGCATGCGTGCATACTCGGCGATGCTCAAATCTCATATGTGGGTCATTCTGTGGGTTTTCCTTGCGGACCAGTGGCGGATTCATTGGAAGGGGCGGATGCTCCCGTTCTCCTATAACGATCAAGGGTCTTTTTTTCATTTTGCTTGTTATTACTTGCTTGTACGTTCAATAAGTGGATCTGTTGTCCGACGGGGAGCCATGCTGTTACAACTGTTTCTAGTGCTATTAACAAAAGGATATATGCCTAAACATGTTGAATCTACTGAGGCTTTTTTTATTTCAAAGGGCCCCAAAGGTTCATAAATAAACAATTTCAAATGTGCGTATCAGTGAAAGGGGTGGGGGGGGACGGTCTGCAATGGTATGTTTTGCTGATATAAGAACCAGGTCGTGGTGCTATATCTGCTAAACTCGAGGCAGTCGCAGACGGAAAGTTACGCAGTAGAAAACAAAAAAAATCAAAAACGCGCTAAGTAATCTTAAAAAAGGAGGTTTTCGCGATAGATGGAGCTCAAATAATAGTTTTGACAGGTTCATGTCTTGTCAACTATGTTGTCGAGCGAGGCTTGCAGCTCTTTTTACAAAGCCTGTGAATGTATTTGTTCTTAGTTTCTGGAAGTTTTGACAAACATTACCACTTTTGACGTGTTTTCTTTTGTTAGAAGCAAATTTCCCCCCGTCGAACAACAGACCCAATAAGCTTTGTTTCGTACACAGCTTTTAGGAGCCTTTCGAATGCCGTCACTATACTGCCATTTTGGACAATGTAGGCAGACTGGTGTGAAATTCCACAACTTCCTAATCTTCCTTTGTCTGGCAACGCTAATCACTTACTCCGGTGAGGGGGCTACGAGCTAAGATCAATTCTTCAGTTGGTCATGCTTCATCTGTTGTTTGAATGAATATTTGTAAGCGTTTTCTAACATTGTGTTTCCTGTCCATAACTATGTTTGTGGCGTTTTTGAGTGCGGCCAGGTAATTCATGGCTATTCAGTACGGAAAAACTCGGGCAACCGGGTACTAGTGCAAGAGAAAAAAGGCTAAGTAAATCCCCTCGAAATGACCCACCCTTTCAAAGCATCACAAACTTGTTGAAATTGAAGTTGTCGACATGCCCTACGTTTGACGGATTCATGAAACTAACAGAAGTCAGAAAGTCAAAGAAGCACTGAAAAAGGTCATTTGAGGAAGAAAATCAATATAACACAGGCGAGCACAATGTCAGATGGTAGGGGACTTTCGAGAGTACCGTGTGATGCACGCGGCTGCAGTATGTAGCAATGTGCATAAAGTGAGAGCGAGAAACGGGAGGGGAGGGCCAGGAAAAGGCGAAGACAGCGAACAGGGTGTGCCCACTAACATGGGGAGTGCCTGACTTCTAAATCTCTAGCATGCCGAAAACACTGCGAGGGGGGGGGGGGGGGCGGGGGGGGGGGGGGGGGGGGGGGCTGAATAATTTCTCAGATATGCAGGACTCGGCAGTTTCTTGAAGGGAGAGTAGCTTATAATGGAGGATAAAATGGGTTCTCGAACGAAGCAGTAGAGAGTTTTGAAGTAGTGGGTGGCAGGCTGCAAAAAGTAAAGAAGGTTGAGACTACAAACGATCGCGCGATCACTCATGAAGATGAGCACGCATCAGCCTTCTGTTTGACTAAGAACTATGAACCCCTTTTGAGTCCAGTGGATGCTAGAACTACTGTCTCATGATCGCATGTTTCGTATAGATAAAGGTTCATTGTTCAAATCGAATATAAAATAGATGTGCACATGTGGAGGCCACGAAAAAAAGGCGGCGGAGGCGCTAATGCCACAAGACAGCGCATTCATTGTCTTAAGCTTAATAGGTCTTCGAAAAAACTACTGGGAGAACTGACCCAATTTCCACTGAGGAAAGAGGATGGTCGTCTTTCGACAGGACTTGCAACGCAGGGTTTTGTTGTGTTAAAGGACGAATTAACGCGTTCCCAGTAATAAAACGAATTTGCGGGTCGTTGAAAGGATATGAGTGAAGACGACCGAGAAAATCCAGGTAACTTGATTCTCGAAAGCGACCGACGTAATGAGTAGATACTGGAAAAAGGTTGCATTGCGTAAAAAATCACAGAAAACGTTTACTGTTACACTTCTAGACAAGCTCTGAGTGTGCGGCACACTATTCATCGGTTTTTTGCCACGTTTGTGAATGCACTAGGAATGGCGAGACCTACGTTTAAAATGCATTATAAAGGGAGCCGGGGAAAGGGAAGGAGCGCAAAAAAGTCACTTGCCCAGTGGACATCTCAGTAAAGCTTTCGTTGCATGGCAGTGTAACGGCGCTATCGAACGCTATCGAGTCCTACTTGTTAACTCAACTTGAAACCTCAAGCCTTCAGAATACAGGAAGCAAATTATCTCAGAATCAAAAAGCATGACGACCAGCTATTAGCAAGAGTGAGTTTAGAGACGCAAACCACCGTGAAGCACAGAGGTTCTCCTGAGCGTAGGTTGACGGAGATGGTGTACAACCAGTGACGACTTCGGAGATTTGTCTACTAGAAACTCGGTCGAGAAAACAGGCATCTACTTCGATCTGAAGCAAATATCAGCAGCTCGTCCACGATGGCGCAGAAATGACCTGACATCACTTCTTAAGCTCTTGTTCAGGCTGGAGTAACTTACTTTCGAATATGTTATCAGTAGGACACCAAATATCAGTTTCAAATTCAAGCTCAGAATCAACAGTCGTCACTTCCAGTCTTTGTCTGCAACGACGAGCAGCTCAACAAATCCCCTACGGTGTCATCAGGGCACAATAAGCTTACCTTGTACCGCCTCACATCTAGGACCCTCTCATGCACAAGAAGGCCGCCAATGACAAGAAGTAAGCGCACACTTACACTTGATGTTTTCGTCTAATTTAGTGGTTGGCGCTCATGTCCTTAAGATATTCAAAACAGGGCCGATGGTAGGTGATACTAGGACTAAGCCCAGGGAGAAGAGAAACGCCAGGGAGAAACAATTGCTCACATCCTCCCCAGAATCCTTCCCTCCTAAGGCTCAGTCCCAAGCACAGTAATTGGCTCACTCACTTGAATGTCCCCCCCCCCCCAGCGACATGAGCGCTACGGTCTTCCTTACGGTCAGACCTGACGGCGACGAATAATCATTGAACTATTTGTTCTTCTGAATGTTTTCTGATATAGTGCTCTGTGTGCTATGTGTGAAGAGTATGAAAATCATTTTGAGGTTGATCGCCACTTGTGGGTTGTAGGCGAAAGTGGAGACTATTTGATTCTCTCCATGAAACGTACACTCCGTCGCATGCTACAATCAGGTTTTGCAAGTAATTACAACTTTATTATTTAACACAATATGTATTAGCTAGGGAAAATTAACCAAAGCGTATTCGCGACGAAAACCGCTGCACTATTATGCACTTATTCCATAATGACGGCGATCTCCTTGAGCGCGAGACCTTTCTGAATGGAAAGCAAAACCTTCCTGTTCGAATGTCTCACAAGCAGAGTCAACCGTGCGTTGCGCAAATTTCAAAATTTTTACGACCCCTCCCTTTCGGAGGTATCGGTACGACCCCCCCCCTGTATTAGCTATTGTGTCTTTTCACATATTTAATGCCCATCATCGGTGTATGGGCGTCACCGACATGGAGAGGTGGTGGACAGTAGTATGTCTGCGGCGTTTTGTCTCGCTCAGAGGCTGGGTATCGGACTCATTGAAGGAAGTTTGAATTTTGGGTAAATGATCATCAAGGTGTAGTAATGCAGAGATATCCTTCTTTACAGAAACCTTATTTCAATGCTTTTTTCAAATCGCAAATGGATTTTGTTTATAA